ATATAAATTACATTATAATATTCTCAAGCAATTTTTTTCTTTCCATTCTATGGGTGTAAATCATGAGACTGCCGACATAGTCATTATTTTAAACTATTCAAAACAATTTAATATTTATATCATTTAACTTATTCACACAGTGAATTAATTCCCCATCACCATGAAAGCATTGGTAAGCAATTTTCTAAAAACTCCTTGTAGAACTTATTCAGAATATATATATATATAGTCATTATTATACTAAATAGGGCGACTTTCTTTGTTTTAGAATGTCATATCGCTATAAAGACTTCTAAGTTTTTATGCCAGTTTTCATGAAGAAGTCGGCAACAAATCCCCGCTATTGCTTCTCATAGTAGAAAGCCAAAGTCCTCTCTCTCTCTCTCTCTCTCTCTCTCTCTCTCAGCTCATTTTAGTTCAAAGGTTTTTAGGCAATTGCCCCCCCCCTAAAAATATTTAAATACTATGATTTTTAGGCAATTGCCCCTAATATAATTAAATACATTGTGTAGATGTGTTATTGTTAGGGAATGATGAACCAAATACATAGAAAAATAGTAAATCAAAATTTGTTAGGTCGAACCCCGTCAGACCCCCGACATATATACAAACAATTACTTGTAATTAAGTTTGTCCCCCCCCCTGAAAATTATGACTGGTTCCACCCCTGGTTGAGCATGAGACGGGTTGCTTCGATTCAGTGTGGGCTTTCGCAAAAGAACACGAGACAAGGACGGGAGTCGGGATTGGGAGGAGCTTACGTGAGAACATGAAGACAATGAATAGTGGGTTTTTTATACATTATAAGTTAGGGTATTTTTTATTTTACACCATAAGATTTAATCAAAACGACTCCATATGCATTTATCTAAACCGGTCAATTTTCTGTAATCGTTGCCGGTTTTACAGTTCGGCGATTGAACCGCCGGTTCGAACGATCTAATATCGATTCTTTGCGAAATTGGTTATGAAGTGAATCACAATTGACTAGCCGACCGGTTTGCGATTCAACTGGTTGAACCGACCGATCCGATCCGATTTTCAAAGTCTTACTTTTAAGCTCATGTTGTTAAATTCATCTTCATCTCTCTCTCCATCTCTTTATAAGCTCATTTTGGTTCAATTCATCTTCATCTCTCTCTCTCCATCTCTTTTAAGGTCGTCTTGGTTCAATTCACCTTCAGCATGAGGGGTCTAATCAAAGTCTTTCTGGCAATTCAATCAAAGGAATATATGACATGATGGATTCTTTCTACCTTCTCTCCCCCCTCTATCTCTCTCTCTCTCCATCTCCTTTAAGCCCATGTTGGTTCAATTCATCTTCATCATGGGGTGTCTAATCAAAGCCTTTTTGGCGATTCAATCAAAGGAATCTATAGACATGATGATTTTTTTCTCCTTCTCTTTATTTCTATTTCCACAATTAAAGGAAGAGTCTATAAAGCATGGTTCAGCTAATTAAAACTAAACAGCTTTTCATCAAACAGAAAGGTTCTTTGATGTTATAGTAATTATGCATTGATCAAGAAGTTTATTTCAACTAAAATGATTTAAATACAAATATGATAGATAAAATAGTTAACTATTAATTTTTATAATTAATTATATTTTAAATAAATTATATTACACTTTTTATAATTTATGAAATTTAAAATTAGTCAAAAATATGATCCAAAATTTTCTCCATTGATTATCTTAAGAACTTCTATAATGAATAGAAGAGATATATATATATGCTTGAAGAAGAATAAATAATATAATTTTTTAGGTTTTTAAGCCTTCAATCAATTAAAAAAAATACATCATCAATTTGAGATTTAATAAGTATAAGGTTTTATAATACTAATTTTATTGTTCGTGCATTCACGTAAATAAAATTTTAAAAATATAAATTTATATTATAAAACTTTTAATTATATTTTTTATAAAAATATAATATTATTAATTTTATCACTACATGCAATACTAATTCTTAATTATATTAACGAAACTTTATATGATTTTCTTAAAATATGCTTCAAACAAAAAGTAATTTTTTTTATTTTGCATGTACCCAATTATTAAATGATACTTATAACATAATATATACAAAATCTAGCACAAAATCTAATATAAGATGTTTTAAAGCTAAATATTTACCAAATATTCAATATAAATTTTGAGGCAATGAGAAGTAATATATTAATATTAAATAATTATTTTTATATAGTAAAATAAAATTAAATGCTAATAAATAATTATGTCATGCAACTAAGAATTAATGACAAAAATTAGTGTCGTGAAAAGCTACACATTTGAGTGAAGAATAATAACTCTAAGTAAATAAAAATAAAAATAAAAATAAGAGCGAAAATAGTTTAAAAACTATATCAAAACCTCATACAAAATAACCTATCCATAAATTCTCAAACATTAAGATTCATCATAATTCTAAAAAGAAAATGATTTACCCATCCAAAATATTAAATTTTATTACATGTTCAAATATCATGTATAATCAATACATTATCAAAGTCAAACTACAATAAAATAGAGCCCCAATAGTACACAAATAGCTATAGATAAGCTCTCCGGAGTAATATGTATTACAATCACTGGAACGATAAAATAGAAATTACGTAATCACAATTTAGAAAATACACCACTCTAAAGCTTAAATTTTTAAATATAATTCAATTGAAATATCTAACTATATTCTAATTGTTATATTAAGAAATAAAAAAAACATGATCGAATAATATTCAAATTCTAATTATTGAATAAAATCCCATAAAAATCTCATTGAAGAAATAAATTTAACATTGTGATAAATTGTGGAATAAAATCTCATATGTCGAGCAAAATTCTTAGTAAGAAAATAAATATCATAACAAGTAACTTTTGATTAAGTAACAATTGGAGAATTTCAGAACAAATAAAAAATTAAATTTCCTCATATAATTTTATTGAGCTTTCTAGACTTATTTTTTTCTATTTGGAAGATCATGAAGGTTTAGCTTACCTTAACAAGATGTCGTAGTTGTGTCTCATTGCTTTTAGACTCATTCATGAAAGATGGATACAACATCGATCCCACTCTATCAATCATAACTTATAAAAACCTCAATTATAAGTGAAAATCATATATAAATTAACCTCGCAAAGTTCGTGTCTCATTGTCTGTAGACTCATTCGTGAAAGATAGATACAATATCCAACTGTCAGTTATAACCTATAAAAATCTCAGTTGTAAGTGAAAATCATAAATAAATTAACATTGAAAGTTTTAATTTTGTATAGAATATCACAAGAGAGCAAAATAATGCTTAATTTATCGAAAAAATAATGGGAGTTGAACCACGAGTAAGAGTAAGTTGAGGTCTAGAATTGAATCATAGCATGTTCGTCATCATATTGAGTGTAAGAGAGAGATCGTTACCTTTATTGCAAGCTCCCATTGTTACCTTTGTGGCAAGCTCCTGTAATGACTTCCAATCTAACAAGAAGAATGTCATAGAAGAAGGCGAAGAAGTTTCTTTTCTTCTGATATTTGTATCAACCCTCCTCTCACTACTATTATTATAATGGTCTCAGATAAATATCGTACCATCAAAATTAAAACAAGAAATAAAGTTGCTAAATATAGTAATGGGCAAAATAGAAAGCAGTACGATGTTTTGTTGGAGTGTAATAGTTTAGTTATCACTACAAATTTTATTAAAATTATAAAATGCTGATGAACTTTATTCTTTATGTTGAGCTAATATGTAAGAGTTACCAAAATTTCATCACAAACTTCATTGAAAAGATAAAAATAATATTTCATAAAGTTGAATATATAAATGTAAGAAATGGATATGGGATAGAAAAAAGATGCTTGAATTTTGCCGATCATATATGAATTCAATGTTAGCTAATGATTTCACTCGATCAACCTGCACATAAAAGCTTTAGTTAGATGTATTTATTTTGTAATAACTACGTGATATTTAAATGAAAGAGAAGTATATGCAAAATGAGAAGCAAGAAATAATTATTTAACTCCATGTTTGATAAAGCTATGAGGAATAACAAAAATAAAATGTTGAATTTAACTATGTCAAAGGGTAAGATGTCCCCAACAAAGTTGAATTTTGTTGGGATACATAAAATCTATAGTTATATCTAATTATTTGATAATATAAAATTGTAAATAAAATATTAAATTTGGCTCAATTTTATTCCAATTAGCTCGAAACTTAATTCGTAATTGATCATTTTAACTAAATTAGCCATGCTTAATGTTGTTTTGACTATAATATTATTGAAATAAGAGTCAATATAGTCATGACATTAATTTTTTAAAATTTTTTAGCCAGTGTTTTTTAAATACAGATTTGAGATTACATTTTAGTGAATATTTCATGATGTTTTTTAAATTGTAAAAAAAAATATTATTTCATTTTAATATTTTATCTTCTTAACAATTATAAATAATTTATTTTAAAAAGCATATATCATGATTTTAAATAATTCTTAATTAAAAATATGAGAGGCTATCCACACAATTCCTCATAATTTAGTATGAAGTGTATTTAAGGGACATTAAATAATATAAGTATTAGTTTTTAAATCTAATAATGATTTATAATACAATAAAGAGACAAGATAATTAAAAAAAAAATGAATGGCCAATATTTGCTATGGGTGGAAACTCATGCCCCTTCTATAATAGTAGTATAGATATATTGAAAACTTGAAATATCATATTTTGTTTCTTACAAACAAAATATGTGGCCATTAAATAAGAGAATTTGGTGAAAGATTGATAATATGATTTGTTTCTATGCCATCAAAGTTTTTTTATGATTAATATTCAGGTTCCGTTTGGGGTAACTTTCTTTATGCTTTTTTAAATAACTTTTTAGTGTAATTTTTGTATTAAAAAATAGCTTCAAGAAACAATAAGAAAGCCGTCCCAAATGATACCTCAATAGCTCACCAGGCAGCACAAGATAATAACTCCCAAACAATCAATTGAGTAGTAATAAAATGGCTTAATCTCTTAGCATATATTGTTTTTTCATGTAAAAGCCAAATGCTTCTTATTTATCTTCTATTTTGAGCTAATTCAGGTGAGCAAAGCGTTCATTCCTTTTAAGGGGATTTCTCAATCTCCTCCAATGCTGCCCAAAGCTTTGGGTTTTCATAATCTTTAATGAGCAACGATGCTCCAGCATCCATCAGCAACTTCTCTGGATTTCTTGTAGTCAAACCAACCACAGGCATCCCAGCAGCCACACCAGCTTCAATCCCTGACACTGAATCCTGCACAAGTGTGGTGGAGTTTTAGTTCAGAGAATTTGTGCAAATTAGACTTGGTTTGGGACGGCTTTTTTTCTGCTTTTTAAAACAGTTTCTTAGTACAAACGTTTAATTTTTTATACTAGAAAGCCACTTTAAAAAACAAAAAGAAAGTCATCCCAAACAAAGCCTTAGCCTTCGTTTGGGGCGGTTTTTTTTTTTTGCTGCTTCTTAAAGCAGCTTTTTAATACAAAAATTAAAAATTTTGTACAAGAAAACTGCTTTAAGAAGCAATAAAAAAACACCCCAAACGAAGCCTTAATCTAAAATCTGTAATGAATAAGACAATAAGCCAACCTCAAAGATAACTGTGTGTTCAGGCGATGCATTGAGCTCCTTAAGAGCTCTCAAATAAGGATCTGGGAATGGTTTGGCCCTCTCACACTCACTTCCAACAACTAGAACATGAAAGAAGTCTGTAAGTCCAAGAATCGAGATCATAAGTTCAGCATTAGGTCTTGGAGCATTAGTCACTGCTGCGCGTTTCAATCCGCGATCTTTGACCCATTTACATAATTTATGAAGTCCACTTACAGCCTTTAACCACTGTGGAACAAGACTGCATGCTCTTCAAATATGTTAGAATTAATGAAATAATTAAGCAAAAGAGAATGAAATGATTGACTCCAAATTTAAGGGTGCCAAAGCCTCAATCATGCAGTTGTAATTTGTTAAAAAAATTAAGTGTAAATTTTCTATATTATATAATCACATAGGGATTTTCTCAATTCTAAAAGGGGGTGAGACTCATCCCTAGAATTTATTATTTTGTGCGGAGTCCGATTGTCGTCTGAAGACCAATAAAAGTACGCCACGTCACCTTCAAAATATACCGAGCTCGGTACCGAGTGTAACCAAATGGTTCTCCCTTCCGGTGTCCGCACAGAATAATCTCTCCATCCCCATACCCTCTATGATGTGGTTAGAATCATACTTCGTTTTGGCGAGTTATAAGAGAAGTTGCAAGGTCACCTTCGAAACATTGCTTCCTTGTCATCCAAGAACTTTGCGGCTTTGTCGGGGTCCCAATCTGGAAATAAGGTTTTCCCAATATCATCGTTGTGCTTGCCACTGATCTTCTCAACAAAGTCATCCTCTGTGATGGGAACCCCATTATTGTAGCCTACCTGTTAAAAGCAGTTTGATAAGTGTTCAAAAGTGTGTTCCAGAAGCAATTATAAATAGGAGGAGCCTCAATAATTAAACCAAACCTCAAGAAGCAATTCACGAAAGGCATGGAAATGAATAGGATCTGAATCGCACAGTGTGCCATCAATATCAAACAGTACTGCTTCAAGTGGAGCAAGCTCAGATAAAGATTTTCTGCATCAAATATGTTGCTAAAATGTCAGAGATGCGATGGGAAAAATTGCTTGCATTATCAACTAAGCACAATGGAAAGTAAATTTCGTGCATATCACCTCACTGTTTTACTTTGTAATTTTATTGAGAGAAATACGTTGAAGAAATGAAATTTTATTAGTAGCCAATTACTCACCATTAATTTGCTATATGTGACTATTCAAACCAAAATGTTTAACATTTTTTTTTGGGTCAATCTACAAACAGCAAGAAATCAATATACAGTTTTTTTTCCCAGCTATCAAAGAGTCTCAATCAAAATATGAATTGTACAAAACTATTTGAATTTTTCAGCTTTAAAGGACTTTTCAATCAAAGTTCAACAGTTTTCCATTGGAAAAATCATTTTTATCTTCTTGAATTCAATCACAGTTTTGTTGTGACTGATTTTCTTAAAAGCTATACTTTGATATTATAATTGATTTTTTTTTGTATAGCTTCTTATAGACTGAAAATAGTGTATATACAATGTATCAATATCAAGATTATGCAACCTTTAAACCTGAAACTATAACTAAGGTCATTTTTTAATCAGAAAAAGGACAGATGATCATGTAAACATCATAAGAACAGTTTGGCATATCTTATTTGGTCAAAAACATCACCTACTTCTATCTTCTATGTTCCCATTTCCTTGCAGCATGATGTAGCTCATCATATTTGCTCCTCCTCATTGAACATCAAATTCTTGGTAAAAACATCAAAGTTTTGAGCAAAACTGAAAAAATTCAGAGCAATTTTGCATGCCAATCAGCCTCAAAGTTTTCTAGCAGTAATGGGAAAAATAAACTATAAAGTGGGTGCCAATAACGTCTCATTAACCTCCACATATTAGCTTAAGGTTTGGGCTCAAATTATCTAATCCTAGTATGTCAAACAACAGCACAAATTTTCCCTGTTCCAGCAATATAAAAAGCCAAGAAAGAGTAACTAGATAGTGAGTAATGCATCAATTCTTGTGACTACAAATTTTATAATCAACTTCAGAGCCAGTTCATATAAGCTTTTTAATACGAATAATGAGTTTTGGCCATTTGTAGAAGCATAAAAATGCCTCCAAAGTTGCACCCTCACGTCTCGATCTGATACCAAAAGCTAAAACTAAACTACAATGCCATTACAACATATTTTTCGTCTCAAATGGCATTACATACATTATCTACTTATGGCACCTTTTTAGTAACGTCAATATTAGGGTGCAACCAGTGCAACAAGTATCTTCTGTTGTAGGTTATTCAACAAATAGGTTGTTCACAAATTTGAGCCTTTGAGCTTTCAGATCCACCTTTTCCCTGGCCTCTCTAATATTGTTATTTGCAAAGAAAACAAATTATAGTAGATTTTGTCCTGCCACATCAGTTTTGATTTTTGAAAGTTTTTTAAACTGATAATCATCAGATTAAAGCAAAGTTTTTATTTTTAGATTCAGTTTCGATTTCATTCCTCATCGCTAAAAGTTTTTGAAACAAAAAATCTGCATATTACAGAACTTTGCTTTCTTACATTTCTTTGAAACAATTAAAAACTAAAAAAAAAAAAAATTCTCAAGAGCGTTTAAAACAGAACATCTAAAAAAATAGTTGAATTAGATAAAGGTTACCTTCAAATTGAAGCAAAGATTGAAGGCTTTAATCAAACCGAAGGCTTTAATCAAACCGAAGGCTTTAATCAAACCGAAGGCTTTAATCAAACCGAAGGCTTTAATCAAACCGAAGGCTTTAATCAAACCGAAGGCTTTAATCAAACCGAAGGCTTTAATCAAACCGAAGGCTGCAAAGAATGGCAACCTCTTCAAACCACCGAGAAGAGTGCCAAGAAGAAGATGAGAGCTAAGACGCGGACGAAGAAGAAGGTTATGGCTGCCGCGAAGTGCGAAGCCGAAGGTAAAGAAGGGCGAAGACAAAGGCTGGAGTAGGCAAACGCGATTTGCGAATCGTTCGTCTTTCAAACTTCGGGAGTCGAGATGGGCAGAGAGTCACAAAATTACTTAAAGTAGGGTAAAATTTATTTTTGAGGGGGGTCAAATTTACAAAAGTATCTCTCTAATGCATTAAAAAAAAAATTTAGGGTGGGCATTTGCCCACCCTGAGGTGAACTAGGATCCGCCCTTGTCTACACGACATAGTGCCAGAATTTACAAAGAATCAGTTCCTTAGACACCTGCTCTTGTGTCAAATACACCGCACTAAGTAAACTTATAGCTGAAATGTCGTTGATCAAAGCAGCTAAGCAGTTCAAAGTTACAACAACCTCAAATGTATCTAATAAAGATTACCTCCTCCACTTAAGTTCTATTCCAAATAAGGAAGACAAAAATATATGAAAGTTTTTTTTTTATGTTTGTTTTTTAAATCCACGCAAGGCAAAAATTTGTCAACCTAGAATCTAAGTAATTATTTCATTTGCCAACACCAACAAACCAACAAATGTAATATATAACAAGTCGGTTGGCTTTGTTAAGTAGATTTTAAAGAAACATTTACCACAAATCAGAAATTTTGTGAAAGCACAGCAATCAACATATAAGCACATCATTTGTTCATAATAAAGGAATTGAGTGGGCATCCTGTTAACCTTCGTGTATTATCCAAAACAAAAAAAATTTAAAACACCTATTGAAGCCATACCCACCGCTTGCTACAGTGTCCGTAGCCCTACGATTCGGCGCCACTTCAGACCGATTGCACGTTGGTTGCATTAATAAAACGAAGACGAAGCCTTCTTCGTTCGTATTCGCCTCTTCTCCTTCCCACACACAAGAGAGTCAATACGTTCCTTAGTGGCATCATATCCTTGAGATATGAATCAATAGGGCACAAAGCCCTCTGTTAGCTTAAGATGGATTCAAACCCCCTTAGGTCTATAAGGTACCCTTGGACGAAGCAACCCATGGCTGCCAACAAGGATCCTTCAGTCAGGTTGGGCCGACTACCTCCTCTAACTAAGTAGACCAGGGACCAGGGATCTTAATCGGGTCCATCATTCATTCCCCCATCATCCATTTTAAGTGCTAGATAATGAAATTCCCAATTTTAAATATCACATTTTCAAATACCCTAAGCCCATGATGTTATTATATGCCAGATAACATGTATTTCTGCGTATCTGATCAACGACTAGCCTTAATTGAAAGTTCTCACTCGGTATAGGGAGGGGTAATTAACTATAGGGGCTTGCACCTATGGGAAACCAGAACTCAGATCATAAAGTCCTCACAAAATGAGGGTGAAATCTCTGGGTAATGTCTTATCTACAATCCCATCTGCCTTCCCAAAATTTACCTCGGAACTTAATTTCGTTAAAACTCCCCTAAAATAAAAGCAGTGGCTGAGGCTGGGGCCGAATTTTCAGAGCCCACACATCCAAAGCAGACCCATAATTAAGCTATAGCTTTGGGTATTATGCTTCAATTAATCTTTAAGTGAAATAATTCTATTAACTTTTTTGCTGGCGTGCATATCCTCATTATACCTACAATATTTCTTTCACAACAGCATGGAACATTAGCATGATCAGGATCATAAAAACCTCTCTATCTCCTATAAAGCACGACTTTGAAAATGTGGAAATCAAGGCACCCTAGATAACAATGGAGCCCTCATGCCATCAGTGATGGCCGAAGGACATTCGGGACAATTATAATAAGAATAAGTCTCTTCGGACATGCAACAATCACTAAGCATAACACTCCATAATGCTGATCCAAAGAGAATAGCCAGTGCCAAGCAAAACATTCTTTATCTCCATATCAAAGCTATGCTCCCATTATCACAAAATCCAATCTTTGCTTCTCAAGCACGAATCATATACCATCGAATACCATAAAAAAAAACAAGTTTTTTTCATCGTTTACCTTCTTCCATGGCATTGACGAAGCGATGAAAAAAAAAAATGACAGCAACTAAACGTAATCGATCAATTTCAGAGATATATGAGTCCCGACGTTACCTCTCCGATGTGTGACCGTTGGTTGAGATCGACATCTCTCTTCCCATTGAGGAAAAACGGAGAAGGCGAGATGATTTATGAGAGCGAAAAGAGAAGAAGTTCAATCGCAAGGAAGGATGGACATTCTCGGAAATCCTACGTTAAACAAACAAGCCTTAATGAGCTATAAATAAGCTCTACTTCTAGATGTTCAATAACTTAACAAACAAGTTCTCGAGCCTCCTAACAAACAATTATATCGAGCATGTTTGTGAACATATTTAGCGATTTTTTTTAAATTATCAAACAAGCAAGTTCATGAACATATCTAACGAGTATTCTTAAGCTATAAATGAGCAAGCTCATGAACATATATAACTAAATTTTTTGAGCTACCAAATGGACTCATTCACGAACAAGTGATCTATGATTCATCTTATATTTATTCATGAACATTTTAAACAAACAATCTAGTAAACATGGACAAATGTGAAATGTCTCTTTTTCATGAACAAATTCATTCTATTGAAAGTATAAAATATAACTAAATTAAATTTATAATAAAAGCAGTTGTCTATGTAAAATGAAAATAAGATTAATCTATATGAATATATTTTCAAATGAAACTTACTTGTTGCATTTCTCACCAATTGGTACAACCGTACAACAGCTAAAAGATTATCTTCTGCATTCATAGAAAGACTTCTCCATTATAATATTTCATTACTTTTAAATTTTCTTATTTAACAAAAATTATATAGTTATAATAAATATATAATATTTATATTATGTATATTCATTATTTTTATAATTAAATATTAATTGAGTTTTTATCGAGCTTATTCACGAGTTTTAAATCGAACATGAATCGAGCTTCTTATTGACTTAATGTCGAACTTGTTCACGAGCTTCAAATGATGTTGTTCATGAACATAAATGAGTCAAACAAATTAGTGTTCAAGCTTGTTTATTTAAGGATCGAGGATTTAAAATATTATTCAAGTTTGTTTGTTTAGTTAATTGAACGATCACAAACAAGCTTTAATTGAACCGTGCAACGAGTAGCTCGTCAAACGTTTGATTTGCTTGCATCCCTAGGTGATCCAAGTAAACAAGGTGACCTGATTTGTATGGATCAAGTACAGTGATGGCTAACATATTCAAGTATGAGGCATGAGAGTTTTTATTAACAACTCACTTTATTATGTTGGATCTAACAACCTAATCATGATAATACAGAAAGAGAGAGTCAGGAGATTTCTTATGATGTATGAAATTATCCAACCTATATAGGGACAATAGTTATAACTGCATTCATTTATTAATTTATTTATGAGTTTATACCAAACTTTTTAACATCATAATATATATATAAGTTATTTCTAACTTTCAAATAATTTCCCAAAATTCTTCAAAATATCAAAAGAATTCTAAATAAAAAAAAAATAAGCCCAATTCATCTCAAATTCAGAAAGCTGCAACTTTAATTTTAAAGTTTGCAGTTGAGCTGGAACGCTTAAAATCAACTCAATAACCCAGTGAATTATATACATGAGGCAACTGCATCCGCCTAAGAATATACAGTTTCCCTTTGAATCGCAATAGGAAAGAAAAAAAAAAATTAAGCATATGAGAGAAACTATACAGTCACGTTCGGACATTTCTCGAGCTCTTTAAACTGGCCCAAATCACTATTAGAAATATGCAGCAAACCACCCTGCTCATTCACCTTATCTATCAGAAGCTTCAACAGTGGAACGTTGGAAAGGGTCCCACATGACCCCACCATAATCAGCTTCTTCTGCACGCATTATAAACATTACAGCACCATTAGTCCTCGGATTCGCATACCATAAATATATTTGCATTGACTGGCTAATTTGCATTAACGGCACAAAATTCAAATAAGTGATTCAGATATTAGAAATGTTTGTCTTGCACTAGAGACTATTACCAAATCGGTCTTGGATAGTTTAGAAGTAACAGGTTATTGACCTGGTTCATTTGAAGTGCTTCATGTTGACAAAAAATTACTTCCAGGAAGTTTCAATATATCAATAAAAATCATACCTTTGCACGGGTGAGAGCGACATTGATTCTATGCCAATCTCCAAGTAGCGAGGAAGAACAGGACTTGGAGCTTTCACTAGATCGAACAAAGGAAACTATTAAACAATCCTTGTCCCGTCCCTGAATAAAAACCAAGGTCAAAAAACAAACCTTTTGCAATACATTTCAGTAAAGAAGGTTCACTATTATGGCGTAAATAATAAGCTTAAGGGGATGTTTGATATGTTTTCAAAATACAATATTTGTGAAGTAGAATGCATGCCTTTAAGAAATAAATGAATTATTTGGTTGGATGTGAATCAAAGACATTGAAATATTCTCATCTTTGTTATGATAACACTTACAAATTCATTGAAATATGGAAAGCAGTATGTTAGGCAACAACATCTTCCATTGGACACAGACAGTGCAGGAATATTGCAACAATTGGATCAAATACTTGGAAGACTAAACAAAAGACAATAAGACGATTATTAAGGTTTATCAATGAAGAGGAACAAAACAAAAGGACAAAAACAACTCCACCTAAATAGACAAGACGTTTTCTTTTATTTACAATTCACTCAGCAGGGCTAATAAATGACCCAAGGAGATTGGTTCACTGTTTTGTCTATAAATAGTTTAATTTGGCTGAAAACTTGGATATGGAATAAGAAATTTATGTTTTATCTTCTCTTTCTCTTCTATGCTTTGGAGCTTGCACCTTACTTGAAAGATGTCTCTTCTTGCTCCATCAAGGGGTTTAACAATTTGGTACTCTCGTTGAGTAATCCTTTCCTTCCCCTCCACTCAGCCTTCCAGCCGTCTCTTTGCTGTCCACCGTACAAGAACAGCCGCACAACCTGCTTTCTCTGCCGCAAGAACCAGTCCCCCTTGCCTCAACAAGTTTCCTGTTTCCCTTCAACCCTTTCCTGCTGTCCGCTTCTTTCATATTTGAGAAACGGACAATAATCGGGTACTTCCCAATGCGGTCAAGGCATTTTAAACAAGACTAATGCAACAGTATGTTTGTTGCCTGCTGTTTTCATAGCTTTTAAATTGACTGATCATGGGATGGATATGGAGGTCAACACATGCCACCTATATGGGCTATGGAGCCCCAAACCTTATTGGTCTTATAATCCATGCTATAAGACATTTTTCATAAGGTGCCAGCTACCAAAACTAGAGAAAAAAGAAAATAGAAGGAGCCATAAACAGGAAAGGAGAAGAAAGAAAAATAAATTTTGGAGAGAGCCATACAAGGTTATTTCTCATCTTATTTAGCTCAAATTTCATCATGTTACTCACATAATAACAACAAGAAGATGTTCTTCATTTAATGAGGAATCTCCTCATTTGCACAATTCCCAAAAGCCTAATTTAGACGATTTTTCTTCACTTTTAGCCTTCCCATTTATCCACCATATGGAGATGTTCTCATTATGAGCCGACTCTTATTGATGATTGATAGATTTATGAACCTCTCATCTAGAGAGTACTTTGTTCCAACCACTGTATTAATTTATGTTTGCAACTCTCTAAAACTCTTCTAGAGAGGAAAAATCTTACAAATCTACTAGATATGACGGAAGATTTTAGGCCGGATAAACCCTCATGAATTTTCACACGAATTTGAGGGTTTTTCATGTAGTTTTGTCCTTTTTGGTGTCTTTTTTTAATTGGATTGTGTGAATTATCTTTGTGAAATTTGCTGGGTGCAAAAAATTGCATGTTTTTTTAAATTTTTTCTAATAAAAAGCTATGCAAGCACCACTATCAATAAAAAGAAAAAAGAGACCTACAAAAAATAGGAAGTTATTAATTAACAATAGAAAAAATCAACCTGATACTTATCAATAGTATGGATCTCGACAGAAGCACTGATAGCACGCCGAATGAGGCTAGCCTGAGAATTGTAAGGAGTTATGATACCAACTTCATCCTCTGAAACTTCTCTCTCAAGTAACCCCCAAGTTATCTAACAAAAATAAAAATAGTCTCAATGATGCAAAATGTTACAAAAGTTCGTAATTGGTATTATTTACGAGAAAAACAGCAAATCATGTTAATCACGTATCAGCGAACTTATTAGGATTTAGGATACAGTTGCAAAGTTTTTAAATTTTGTTAATGTTACTAGTTTTAAAAAACGACAAAGCTTGTAAAGATAATTTGGGAAAGTTCCATGAAGTATAGAATGGTTTAGTGAGGCCTATTTTACATTTTCCCACTCCATCGGTATTGGCATTTCTAGAAAAGAAACTAGGGAGTCAAAGATATTTTCCTAGTTTAAATTTAACTTTATAAAAATATAATTTAAATTATATTTTTTTTATGATGTAACTAATTTGTTTCAGTTGAGGAATTAATGTCCAGTCATAGCACATGGTTCAAATTAATTTATAGAATCAGAATACAACAAAATTCCAACTTGTACCAAAACAGTAGCAACTTTATAGTCATCATGACGCATTTTAAAGAATGGAACCATTATATTTAATAAAGCTTTCCATTACAGCCTGAATTTTTTGTCATAAATCCTTTCTAAATGAAGTCCACTATACTGACAGTTTATACATTAATCTAGGTACGTAGAACATATTCTTGGTCAAGCAACGATGCCAAAGAGTGCATCTACAACTCTTAAAAAAATTCAAGAAAGATAATAAATGAATATTGATGCATGCATAAAACAAATAAAATTTATTATAGAATTCAAAAATAAAATTTAGGTATTATTTAATTAAAATTTAATTTATTTTCATTAAAATTCACTCTTGATGTGCCAAAATGACGTAGCTTTAAATATAATATCTTATAAAAATACGAGTATAATGCAAACAATAAGTGTATTATACTATTTGATATTTGAATTCAAGAATTTTCCATTACTTTTAAAGGAAGCAAAAAATATAAGTTTTTTTAACATTTCATATGTATGAGTGTTATGATAGGATAATACAAGAATTCATTAACAAAGCTCGTACCTCTGAAATAATACGAGTTTCGGCTGGATTATGCACATTGTTTTTCTCCCTTACCTCAGGCGCAGGAAGTTTGTCTGAAAGATAAAAATTAGAAGAATAATGACAATATGCTAAAGGTATTTAAAACAGGCAAACAAGAAAAACCACAAACCTGTGTTGATAAAGACAACAGACTTATTTGGATCTAAAACCTGCAGTTGCCAATAACAGATGTTTGCATGTTACATCAATATTCAAGGCGATATGAAAAGAATCCCCAGGTAGTTAAAGATAAAGCTAAAAAAGTATAGGATCAAAAATGCATTAGTATAATGCTTTCATTAAATTGATGATTCCTTATGGTCTGTTTATATGCACAAAATTAGAGAGAAAATAAAAAAGTGGATGAAATCTCTAATAAGGGTGTGGAATTTCTCATAATCAAGTAACAAATTAACAAAATTTCATTTCATTTCTTTAGATCACTACAACTGAGACAAAACCTAAGAATTCCATCGGTTGTCACATTCATTAGGTAGAAATAGGAAACCCTATACAGAACCTAAGCTTGAGTACTTGCTTCTTTTTCACATTTTCATGAGGCCTATAACCACATTTACCTATCATAAATTTGATGCACTAAATTCATCAGAATTACTCCCATAATATGACAACAAAGATTTTGATACATCAACTATATTAGATTCATGACGTCATGGTCTACAAGATGGCATATAAGTATCAATCAGAGACTTTACTGAAACCATGCCACCAACATTGCCCTTAACAACACTTAAACAAAGTGCATAATAATAAATGCTTCCACGATGTTGCTTTTGGAGCAAATAAGTTTGTTAGACCGGTCCGGCCGGTCCACGTGGGACCGGCCCAGCCATAACGAGGCAGAAGTTCCGCCTCCCGTTTCCACACGCACGCCCGCCGATTCAACTGCACGCCCGAATAGGAAGGTTTTTGAATGGATTTTAGGAGGGAAATTGATTGTAGGGATTGTTTAGGGAATTCCTTTTGATTTGTATGCATTAAATAGTTGATTTTCCGAGGGATTGAGCATCTTGAATTTGGCTGAAATTTGAGATCTCTTAGATTTAGGTTTTCTTTGGGCTCTAGCGACGTCTAGAGATTTGGGAGAGTTCGATCCTCCTCTCGAATTGAGGATCAATTGTATCTTTTCTATTCTGTTGCATCTATTAGAAAAATACAAGTCTTTTCTCCACGGTTTTCTCTCCGATTTGCTATTTTTCCACTGTTTTGTGGCTGATTTCTGCTGTGGACAGCACTAAAACTGCAACAGTTTACTGATTTTGGCTAGGAACACTTGTGAATACAAGTGTTTCCTATCAAAGTTCTTCATAAATTCTTGTATGATATGTGTATCATATTAATGTATTTTTGAAAATGAAGGATGGATACTTAAAATGGTCACCGTCAAACACTTGCATGCTCAAAAATAGGGGCGGATCCAGTTTTAATTTTCGGGGGGAGGGGAACTTATAAATAAATGTTGGTGTTGCCTCAAATTTGGCTCGACCATTAACTACAAGAAAATGGGTCACCAAAAAGGAAGTTTGATATTAGCTACCAAAAAGAAAATTTTGCTTCAAATTTTATCACTAAAAGTGTAGAGAATGCTTGAATCTCAAATTACGAAAGGCCTAATCTTACTTGAGCGAACTTTGTGAATCTTAAAAGGTTTCATGTGCAATTCTTGAACGTATCACATCAATAATTTTAGTGATTAAAGATTCTTTGTACTTGAGTACATAACACATTTTAAAAATATCATTAATATTTTATATAATGACAATTATTCTTAAAGAAAATTTAGGTTGAAGTATTAATGATTTGTTTGAAAAAAAAAATCAAAATGATGTAATTAATTAATCATTCAATTTCTACAAAATATATGTTAGAGTTGCCTTGAATTAGGCTTGATCACTATTTGTTCATATCCTTGATCGTTATATGCTTCCTAGATATGTCGGGGGTCCAAGGGGGTAGCGCCCCTGGCGGGGTTCAACTGAGTGAGGGTGATTCGGGCAGCGTCCCCCGAAAAAAATTATTTAAATGCACCACTCTTATAATTATTTTTTTTAAGGGGAGGCAATTTCCCCCCTGTGACATATACATGGTTCCACCCCAGCTCAAAAACTAGTAAATTTCAAAATTGTTGTTTCTTGGTTCCTAGCACATTATGAACATGTGTTGGACACATTATTACAAGATGAAATTCTCATAACAAAAAGTATGCTTTTATTTATATTCTATACCTTATAGATGATTTAAAAGTCTAATATAAATGAAATTGATGTTATGCTTTTAATAATGTATGTAAATACTAAATACATTACATGTTAGTTCCAACTTCCAACAAATGCCCCATGTTTGTGTCATGTCTTCTTTGCCTCCATGGTCCAAATATGTGCATCATAGCTAAGTATCATACCAACGTTAGCATGACAAAGCCATTTTTCAATACATAAATATATGCATTGATGATGATGATATCATATGTTATATAAAAACATAAGCATATAATTTGGAAAGTGTGTCTGTGGTATGGATTAAGAGTTATATAAAAACACAAGAAGCTTAAAGACCCCTAAGAAGCATTGAAAATAATCACCTCTTTTAGCCACCATTTTATAGGTTCTACAGTGGTCAACTTTATTTTTGCATTTGCTACTTCCTGGGAACCACATCGGAGCCTGTTCCCATAAATAAGTGCATTTGATAGTTCCATGATTCCAGCACACATCCGATACTGACAGAAGGAACATGTTGACAGGAGAAGTAAATATGCGAAGCAGAACAACATATTGCAATTATTGCAAACAAGTATAATAAATTAGATAAACCTGGCTCTGCAAGGCTGATATAGCCTGAGGATGAGCTTCTGAAAGCCTGCAGAATAAGCTTACAGCCATTCCATTCTCACGAGCCTCTGTGCTCTACAATTTTGAAGTAATTTTGCACATTTAAGAAATGCAAATTAAAGATAAGGGTAGTGTACAACCGTTAATAACCTGAACGAGTGGTGGTAACTGATAATGATCTCCGACGAGAACAAATGTGGAAGCCAGCATAAGTGGCCCTAAAGAAACCTGAGATTAGGTAAAAGAAAGAGCGAGCTTAATGCAACTATTTCTTTAATCAATGTTAATTATATTATGAAAACTTTTTAAATAGCTACCATTAAAAACATATTGCAAGATGCAGTTACATAAACCATACTAATAAAAGAAGGCCCATACTGGCAGTGCAATTTGTCCGGCTTCATCCATTATACAGACATCAAACGTTTTGTTCACAAGCAAGGGATGTTTTATGCCCAAACATGTTACTCCAACAACACGGATTTGATCCATCCTCTGCTTAACATCATCAACAGAGTGCATATCTGCTGCCACGATGAGAAGTAAACATAAATGTCACATTAGTCCTCTTGCTTTAAGAGAAAAAAAAATAAGAAAACAGAAAGAAATGTGACCTGTAAAGCAATGTTGACGAATGTCTTCATGAACAGCTTCCTGCCTACCAAGCCGAATAAAATCAATGCCCTAAGAAGATGATAATATTAAGGACCGTAGGAAGTCTGCAAATAATCAACTTAGATATAGCTTCAATCAATGCAAGCCAGGACCCAATCACAATCAGGTCAGAATAACCTGGCATGCAAATGAAATTATCAGACTAGTGCATCAGGGGAAGCCCCCAAGCCATTAAAAAACATATTGGACAATAATAAATCCAATATATTAATACAAACTTCAACATTTAAAGAAGCTCTAAATAAAATTTACCGCTCATTTCATGTAATCTTATTGCTTAACAGAAGTAGTTTGTATTGCTCAAAGCAATACAAAGTCCAAATTCATGAACTGCTTTGAAAACACAGAAAACTGCTTTGACAGTAATTAAAGTGAGTTTCCATTCAGCCGAGTAATGGCTAATGGAAAACATCCACCATTCATCTGACAACAACAACAACAGCAACCCTTTATCCCACTATATGAGGTCGGTTACATGAATCCTTTTTCTCAATTTTGTCCTGTTAAGAGTCAAATTATAATCTAAATTTAACAAAGAAAGGTCATTTCTAATATTTTCAAACCAAGTCTTTTTAGGTCTACCTCTACCTTTCTTAACATAAATCAAATCTAATACATCTAGTTTCTCCATTCATCTGACAACCGGTTGAATAAATACATATGGAGGCAGATTGGGCCAACGCTCAAGTAGTCGCCATTGTGGTCTTAAGGTCATGAGTTCGAATCACAGAAAAAATAAACTCTTTGAATTGCAAATGTTGCGCAAGTAACCCTTTCCCGAACCCTAAATTGTATGCAACCAAGTGGAACATTATGCCATTTTTTCCGATAACTATTTTGTTATCTCACTTCTAAGCCTAGGGTGTAAGCTCCTCTTGATTTGTGCCTTACTATGCTTTTCCTCAACAATTAGATTGCCATGTGATATTGATTTGAGGGCACCACTTCTTAATAAGGCAACGTGGGCTTCAATCGGTATGAAAGCTTCAGCATTTATAAATGAACATTCCACATCTATGCCGTCATCTCACAAAGTGTGCTGAGGGGAGAAACACCAACTTATTGAGTGGTTCCCAAAAAAAAAAAATAAAGAAATGAAACAACTATGGCTTACACTCTGCGGACAATCGGATAATTATAAAGGATATTCTGCATGTATGTTAATGTTAGCATATTATTATAGGAAAGTTTCATATCTACTAAAAATTATTTTATTTTCTTTCAGGAAAATGTATTCAAAACCGCTATCATAATTAAGGGCTGTCCAATTGAATAAAAGGTTATGAAAAATAAAATAATTCCCATCAGCATACAATTAGAGCAGGGCTATTGTTCGGCGGTCCTGTCGGACCGGCTCACGCAAACATAGGCGGAAATGTCTGCCCGGGCGTGCGTGAGCTGTTTAGGAAGGATTTTTGAGGGAGTTAAGAGGAAAATTTAAATGTAGGGACTGTTTAGGGATTTCCTTTTGATTTGTATGCATTAAATAATTTGTTTTCCTAGGGTTAGAGCATCTTGAATTTGGCTGAAATTTTATATCTCTTAGTTTCTTTGGGCTCTAGCGGCATCTAAAGATTTGGGAGAGAAAGATCCTCCTCTAGAATAGAGGATCAATTGTATCTTGGTATTTTCCATTTCCCTTTCATTAAATAATACAAACTATATATTGTTTCGTGGTTTTGGTGTGGATTTTTGTGGAGAATTCTCACTGTTCTCTGAAGATTGATAGGAAAAACTTGAGATCGCCTTTGGCTTCTAGCGGCGTCTAGAAAATCGAGAAAGATCTATTGATGTAAAACAAACAAAGGGGGCTTTGCAAGGGAGAGGAACTCCTCTCCAAAAATCTGACAGCAAGCCTAGCTGAGGCCCAAACTTCCTCTCCTATATTCTGAAAACAATTTCAGATTTTCAACAAAGAATCCTGAGAGGAGTTCTCAGATTTCTAACAAAAATCTGAGACAAATTCTCAGCTTTTAGTAGACTAGGTTGTGGAGAAAATTGAGAAAAAAAAAAAAAAAGTCTAGCCTTCACTCCAACAAGAAGTGTTCCAGCGGGAGAGAGAGAGATGCATAGGAGTGAGAGGCTTGGGGGAGGGACTCCAAGTTTTCTGTCCAGGAAACAGAAACAGTTTTATGTCCAGGAAGAAAAAAAAAACTGAGAAGAAATTCCCATCCCAGGTTCTTGCCTAGGGAAGCAATCCGGAACCTGAAGAGGCTTTGAATTTTCTGGCGGCAGCTTAGTAATAAATTAGGAAATAAATCCTAATTATCATTACAAGGGGCCTGTGGATTTCAAAGCCAGCAAGGGGGTTTAATGAGGGGGATTTCCACGGTGACAGGGAGAGGGAGTTGGCGGGATGGAGAGGGAGTGAGGGAATTTTATTTCCAAGCCTGATTTCAGGTCTTAGGAAATAACTTAAGAGGTGAGGCTTGAGGAAAAATTCGGCCAAAGCAGAGATATGGGAGATTTGAAATTATTTCTCAAAAGCTAATGCCGTGAAATGAGTTAGGTAAATAAATTCCAATTCTTTTCTTTAGAGGGGGGCCGGCTGTGTATGGAATAGGGAATTTAATGGATTTTAAATTCCCCAAAATCAGTGAATTGATTTGGGGGATTAGAATAGGAATTAAAACTGAGGTGGGAGTAATGAAGTGGTTTAATGCTTCTAAATTTGAATTTAAAATTCAAATGAATTTAAATTAAGAGGGACTTAATGGAATTTGCTTAATGTTAAGGAATTAAGAAAAGAACCAATTAAACCCCTTTTGAATTTGAAATTCAAATCGGACTGAAAATGAAAACTTTCCAAAAATAGCTTTCATAAATTAGGAAAGATTTCGAATTTCAAAATACATGATTTTGAATTTGAAATCAGCCCAAAATATGAACACCCAAATTAGGCAAGGATTTCAATGGGGAGAAGGAGGTGGAAGGTGGCCGGCGGCTAGAGCTTGGGCCGGCGGTATGAGGGGTTGGGTGGAGTGTCGGTCGTGGGTTGAGGAGGTGGAGCTAGGGGGAATACTTGGGTGTATGAAGAGGGGAGGAAGGAGATGAACAAGAATATACGAGAAAGATAGAGATAAATAATGAACTCACAAAGAGATCGTAAGAACCGCGAACCTCAGACTCTTCCAAAGATTGACGGGTATTACAAGTTACCCTCCTCGGGCTTCTCCTCTCATGAACTCACTAAGAGATCACATGAATTCACTAAGAGATCAACAAGAACATAAAACTTTTCATTATCAATAATCATCCATTACAATAGCTTAAGTCCCTTATTTATAGGCCCCAATATGAGAAAATTCGCAATTACAAAATTGCCCCTTGTGCCATAACACTCAAACAAACTATCCTAGGGGTAAAACAGGAAATACATTAATTTAGAACTAAAATTCAGAAAAATAAATCATAATAGAAGGTTTAAATGATAGCCATCGATTTGCGACGCCTCCTGTGATAGATGCGCCAAATCTTCGTACCGATGTCCGCATCACTCCCCAGGTGGGAGAATACTCGACTCCGTCGAGTTAGCATAACAACTGCCCAGGTACAACTTTGGATGGTTATTTGGAGACATAGTTTTATCCTCCGAGATGGGTACTAAACCCAATTGGCACTTAAGCTCGCCAATTTCCTTAACCATAGTCAAGGGATCACCTTCCAAACTGTAGCACTTCTTTTCGCCTGCAGGAACTTATTCACCCTCATCGATGGCTTCACTGGCGATAGGAGCAATATGGAGTTCTATGGCTATCACTTCCAGAGCTTCCTCAACCTTCACTGTTATAGGAGTGTTCACTGGGTCAGGAGAAACCTTTGCTTCTATAGGAGTTGCAATTGACTCAACCAAGTCTTTCTCTGCGCATTTCTCCTTGTCAACCAATTCATCTTCTTCTTCATGTTTTTCCTTGATCACCTTAGGTTTCTCTTTGATTTTCATAGTGAGTGGGAAATGGAATGCTTCATTGGTCTCCATCCATTTGTCCACTCTCTCTACTCTCTCTCTGTCTCTTAGTGCCTTCTTTCTCTCTTTTGATGAAGGGGTTTTTGCATAGAAACGTGGGTTAGTCCTACCTCGCTCTAGGTGATCGAGTCGTTTGATTGTTTGACGGTGGAGGTCGGCTAAGTCCGCTTGAGTCTCCTTGAGATGTTGACTAATGGCGCCCACTTGACCTACTATCCAGTCTAGAGTCCTCCCAAGTCGATCCGAGTCCATGCTCTGATACCAAACTAATGTAAAACAAACAAAGGGGGCTTTGCAAGGGAGAGGAACTCCTCTCCAAAAATCTGACAGCAAGCTTAGGTGAGGCCCAAACTTCCTCTCCTATATTCTGAAAACAATTTCAGATTTTCAACAAAGAATCCTGAGAAGAGTTCTCAGGTTTCTAACAAAAATCTGATACAAATTCTCAGCTTTTAGTAGACTAAGTTGTGGAGAAAATTGAGAAAAAAAAAAGTCTAGCCTTCACTCCAGCAAGAAGTGTTCCAGCGGGGGAGAGAGAGAGAGAGATGCATGGGAGTGAGAGGCTTGGGGGAGGAACAGAAAAAATACCTCCCATAGGGCTTATTCCTAGGGAGGAGTCGGGTAAAGGGTATATGGGGAGGAGTGAGGGGGTTGGACATGAGTGGAAGGGTGCTAAATTTGAAAGGGATTGAGAAATTTTTTACCAAAGGAGGGCTGAATTGGAAAGAGGAGTTTGAGATGATCCAATGGGTGCTGAATTTGAAAGGATGAGGTGAAAATTTGATGAAAGGTTTGGGTATGAACGTAGAAGGGATGATTGGGACACTTGGGGGGGATGGGAAATTATGGAGGGAACATATGCGATCCGGGGTGAGGAAATTGAATATGTCAATCTTTGAGGGGGGAGGATATGCACAGGTGGATCTACAAGGATGAAAGACATTTAGCCATCAATGGGTTGACGGAGGAGGAGAGCCTGATGGCAGCAGACCTCTGTTTGAAAGGGAAGGCTTTGACTTGGTACCAATGGAGGGACATGCAA